CTAACCATATCAAAATTGAATGCTTTTCAATTGTTGGTTCTCGTAGGAATTATGTATCTTTTTGTCAGCATATATACAGAGGTTTTGCTATCACCTAATAGGTGGACCGATGCTACTAGGTGTCAAAAGGAGGAAAGCCTCCTAGCTACTGTGTACGTGTTACACTTATGTGAATCTTTAAACATTAACTGCACTACACCTCAGTAGCGGCCTTTGTTCACCTTTTGTCACTTTAGTATTAAATGAATAGTAAATGTTTTAAACATTTTTTGAACAAGCTTCCTTTACGGAAATAGTTATTTGTGTAACTAGTGGTGAAAGTGGCACTTTGCTGCACACGAGAGCAATGTTTAATGATCTCGAGTGCAGCAAAGGCCTTTTTTACTCGTGTTAGGTGTTATGTTTTTCATTTATCTAAAGAAACTAGGCGCAACTGTAGTAGTCATTGTATAAAGCACAAGGTTGCTGTTCTTATTTTCAGGAAGGTAGAGTAAATATTTTACCCTGATTCCTGGTTATAAAGACATTTCCAGTGGTTAGTCCGTGGTTTTCTCTCATAATCACCTGTTTATTAACTGTTTTAAGCTTTTCTCAGAGCTTTTTCCTTTTCTTTGTTTTATTTCGCTATTGTTATTTATTACAGCCGCGTTACAGCTATTTAATTGTTTTTTGTTTTGAATGTATTGTGTTTTTATATTTATCCTCGGTTGTTGATTAAGGGTTTTAAACGGTATTTGATTCATATTTTTCTCATTTTCTTAAGTAATTAATTGTCAGAATAACAAGCCACTGTCTATGGGATGTTTTAGTAACATTATATTTTTCATACAGTCACTATAAAGCATATAAATAATTAGTCTTTCAAACACTATACAACACGTTTTTAGGTTCAGCTGGCAACACAAATAGGTGCCCTAGAGAAAGTAGTACCCGCGGTCCGTATCACTCCGCTATTTTTCCTCGGCAAGAACTGTGCTCCGTGTTTTGAGAATATAGTTCCGTATGTTTTTTGTAATTTGAAGTGGTTTCCGCGCCTAAAAAAATGCTTTAAAGGTATTTTCTTGTTTATTAAGATCGTAGGAATGTTTTAAAAACGTTTAAAAGAAAAGTCCAGAAAGTTCAGAAATACCGAAACTATAAACACGAAATGACAGGTTAAATCGTAGTTATAATAGTCAATCAGCTGCTCATAGTATTATTATCTTTAAGTGTTGCCAACCTATTTCCAAGCGTACACGGATTACGTGCATAATAGAACCACGCTGTTTTGTGTTGTTTCGTTGGAATCCTGATGTGCGGCAAAGTATAAACCGTACGACAAAGTATAAACCGTACGGCAAAGTATAAATATGCAGCAATTAGCAGCTTTCTGTACTATAAACAGTACAAGGAAGCCAACTTTGTCGGGTGACTGTAGGAAAAAATATAAGTTTGATAGATGCTCTTTGTGTCTGTTTTAAAGCACTGCAATTTTCGTTAAAATGTATATACATGCTTTGCCTGCAATATCCATCGGGAAATGCTTCAAGCTCATTGCACTAGAGGAATCTGAGCTATTTAGTACATATTCTATTTTAGCTACAATGCAATGAATTGTTGTCAAATTTTAGCCGAGGAACACATCCACACACAAAGGTTTGTTCGCATTTAGCATATCTATATGTATAAAAGAGGAACTATGTATGTATATATATGTGTATATACGTTATGGACTCCGAAACCGCTCGACAGATTGTAATGAAACTTTCAGGCATTATTAAGCATCTTTCAAGGATGGTTCGAGTGAAGTTTGGTGCAGATCCGTCAAAAGGGCTCTGCCCCAGAGGGTTTTATGTGGGCCAATGTCAGACTTTTTGATCTAGAATGTTTACAAATAAATATAATTTAAAAGCAGATGTTTACTTTCACCAACTGTTTTGTACGTTTGAATAACTACAACATTCTGTATTAGCATTAGTCATGATTTGAAATAGTGCCACAGTGTTTCTACAGATTGCAGCACAGAAAACTATTTTACTTTTAAATAAGTCCAAATGTATTAAACCCCAATCACAGCACACCTGTGCACTTAACAACGTTTAAATTCTCCAATGTTAAATATTAAAACATAAAAACCTTTATAAAAGTACTGTATTATAAACAATAAAAGGGATGACTTTTTTTAAATGTATGACAGCATGTTATGAACAGCTAATTTGCAACCAAAAGGTGAGTGAGCGTAGCGAACGAACATCAACCTGGAGGCGAGTAAGCGTAGCGAACGAGCTAACCTGAAAACAAGTTAGCGCAGCGAACGATTTCCAACCTGAAGGTGAGTGAGCGTAGCGAACGAACTTCAACCGGGACGTGATTGAGCCATGCGAATACTTATGAAGTTAAACGGGGCAACGCCCGTGGGTACAGCTAGTTAACTATATAATTAATAGTACATATTTCGACGCCCGAATCCCACTGTCTTTCATAAACAAACAACACTATGTTTATGGTGGCGAGCGCCGAGCGCGACAGCGAAAACGGGGAAACAGCTGATTTCATGTTCCTAGTTGTCACAATTTCTGTTAGCTACCAACCTACACAGGCATCAGCCATCAGCGGTAGCACCTGTAGCCTATTACTGAATTTTATACTATACAGGTTGCTACAGATCAATGCAATGGAGAAAAACGTTAGGCTAAAAAACTTGTCTACTTGCTTGCATGACATAAAACAGTAATTTTTTGATAATTGGTTACAGTTATAGACGTTAAAAATGGCTTTATAAAGTCACAAAACGGGTTTTAGGAGATATTGCCACGTAGTCTACAGTATGTTTTGAAATTCATGAATGCAAGTTCGTAATAGTTAAATTTTTAAAATGTCTACTTGCTCACGACAAATAACATGTGAAATGGGAGGTTTTTGGACCGGTAGGCCTTAGCTTAACTCACTTAATAGCACTCTAATTAAATAATTTATCAAATATTTGTTCACGAAAGTTTTTTTGACTTCGAATTATATTTACTAAACATCTGATATAAACTTCCCAAGCATTTATAGACATTTTACTTAGCAAAAGTCTACATTTCCTCCTATCCACTAGATAGATCGTTCCTATTTTAACAGCTTTTCATCTCAGATATTACCAATGCAAATTGTGAGGAAACTATTGCGAGGCGAGAATTTAAATACATTTCCATGTTGTATAGTGTTGCGAATTGACGAACTTTCTAAATTAGTCAAAGTTGAGGTCTGGATCGATTCTATTGTATATTATTTGTGTATTAGAAAGAGAACATATCTCTTTTTATTTAGTCATTTAATACCATATTTAAGGTTCCCTTTCCTCATATAAGTACATTGGAATTTAAAATCATTTCTTTTTAATCAACTGTCATAATGGGAGTAATTAGGTGTTATTTTTTTATTTATCTAAAGAAATTAGGCGCAACTGTAGTAGTCATTGTATAAAGCACAAGGTTGCTGTTCTTATTTTCAGGAAGGTAGAGTAAATATTTTACTCTGATTCCTGGTTATAAAGACATTTCCAGTGGTTAGTCCGTGGTTATCTCTCATCATCGCCTGTTTATTAACTGTTTTAAGCTTTTCTCAGAGCTTTTTCCTTCTTTGTTTTATTTCGCTATTGTTATTTATTACAGCCGCGTTAAAGCTGTTTAATTGTTTTCTGTTTTGAATATATTGTGTTTTTTTAATATTTATTCTCTGTTGTTGGTTTAGGGTTCTAAACGGTATTCGATTCATATTTTTCTCATTTTCTTATGTAATTAATTGTCAGAATAACAGGCCACTGTCTATGGGATGTTTTAGCGACTAAACATTTCGAATAATATGGTGGATTTGATGTAAGTGTTACCTGATTTCGGGCTTTTCCATTTAAATGTTGTTTACCATGGCGTATGGTTATAAATCATATTTTGTTATACATAATATCATCCCCATATGTTTTAATATTATTTTATTATTACTAATGGCCTGGGGACCCCCAATAACTATCCAGTTAAAATATTCGTTCGTACAGTATTGGGCCTAGTTTTGTGTCAAAATCCTTTGGAAATACTTTGGAGCAAAACTTTTCTCTAAACTGTTCTTCGCAAAAATCAGTAAAGGGAGCCGAGACCGGACATGGGATAAACTCAATAGGGTTCCCAGATGAGTAAATAAGGCTGGACAACAGCGGGTTTAATGGACAAGGGGATGAGGGGGGAGAGACACCCCTAGACCATTAACAGGCGACAGGCCGGCGCTGGACTAGAGGTTATAGAATTAGCTGGTGTTTACTATGTTATTGTCCACATTTGGTATCGTTAGGGGTTTAATTTGTTACATACCTTGAACAATTTGGAAGTGACGAGTTATTTTTATGACGTCTTTGGTACTATTTCATTGGTTTAGTGGACACGGTGTCATTAGAAAATGATTTTGCGTATTCAACCCACCATGTGAATATTTAACCTAAAGAAACTTTTTCAAATTACTGTAATCGGACAGTTTATACTCTCGATGTTGACGGGTCTTCTATGAACCAGTTAGTCCAGACCTTAAAGTGAATTGCCGTGGCCCTTGAGCTATTTTTAAGAGGTGTGCGTTCTTATTTAACTTTGACTTTGCCTGTCTACTTGAATCCTCGTATGTAGACGTATCATCAATGTGTAAGTCAGTTAAAGTACATGGAATAATGTGCTGATCAACCTTATGTAGCAGCCCTGGGATGCAAACCACCACATCGCAGTGTAGGTTTCATAGTTGCACTACTGAGCCAAAGACTCGACAATTTCTTAATTTACACCCGTTCGCAATGTTTGTTGAATCTACAATTGCCCATTGTACTCATGGTTATCCTTTATTGCAGACATCAAGAAGATTGTGGCCTTGGTCGCAGTTCGTTGTCCTGCAGACTGAGCTACTGACTCTTCAAGTTCTTAATTTACTTCGTTAAGAGATGCTAGTGCATTAAACAGCCTCAAGTTACCATTTTGTACTAATTTGTGTCGTTTTATTTACAGACATTCAGACATGGGTTCCCGTACCAACCTACGGCGGTGGCGTTTGATCCGGTGCAACACCTGCTGGCCATCGGGACCAAAACTGGATCACTCAGACTGTATCCTTTTTACCCCCCCCCCCCAAAAAAAAAACCCAATGAAATTTTCAGTCTTTAAAGTCAATTAACATTCAAAGGCATGCCGAACATTTACAATAAAAAAATTAGCGGTAATGCTGGACATGCGTGTCATTATTTTTAACCTATGATTGTGTATTCTCTGACGTAAATCAATATAAAATCCAATGCTTTTAGCTATTTGTATGTGTGATGTGTTGAATGTTAACACATAATTGTGGCCTATCAAAGACTAAAACAATATAAGAGTAACCTAAAGAGGGTTATTGTATTTTCTCTTACTTATATGATATTGAAATACATAGGATTAAAAATGTAACTATTTGTATCAGTAAATTATTTTCAAATTGTCTTTAAACGTAATTTATGTGAAACAACAAAGAGGCATTATCCAAACGGTGTCTTCCCTTTATAATTATTTGCTACAAAAATCCGATATATTATATTTATTCACGATAAAAAAACTGTAAATTTTGTTAACTAAAAGTTAATTGATGTCCAAAGTCCCAAACGTCACCTTTTCAGATGAAAGTTTTCGATTCTTCATTAGATCGACGCTTCAATTTTTCGGTAAGTTATTTTAAAAAGTCACTTTTAGTCTAAGTTTGGGTTTAAGCTTTTCAATGTGTAACTACATTTTTGCTATTTTTATGATACCATTTTGGGATGTATACTGATTATCTCTATTATACTTCGAAAAATGTATAATTTATTTTTACAAAATTGTGTCAATTTTTTTAAGTTTCAAATGAGATCAGAAGGGAGTTTACTTTGTCCCATTTTATATGAAGTTGTATAAATAAGGCACGTTGTGATTTTATCGTATTAACAAAACTCTGATAACAGTAAACTATGAAAAGTTATGATTTACGACCGGTTATATTTCGGGTCGCTTTATGTTTTTTTTTTTTTTTTTTTTTTTTTTTGACAAAATGTGTTAGGTAGATAAATCATTAACGATAGCCTCCATAAATATTTTTTAAGTTAACATTTCTCTAGAGAATTACGTAATTAGACCTGATAAAAAGAAAGAAAATACCTGCTGATTAACAGCTTTATTCACCCCCTTCTTTACAATCGACTCTTTCTCGAGCAAAATAAATATTCCGTAATGAATGATAATTCTTGAAAGGCTTTTCCTAGCCATTGTTTATTTCTCAACTATAAACTCTCCACATTTTCGCATTTGTTTGGAGTTTTATTCAACCCTTTATCCATTGTTACTAGCAATTAGTAATGCTTATGATTGTTTGCCAGTTCATACCATTATTATTTTCCCCTTTTTTTGAATGGGTGTTAAAGTGTAAGTTATGTCTTGATGATATAAATAAGGATCCGATTAAATCGATCTTTAATTAGGAACCTAAAAAGATTAATTTTGATGATATGGATGGAATTTTTTTTTCGATTAGCGTTTTTACTAAACTACGTTTTGCGTAACGAAACTCTTCTTGACGTCTCAACTTCCAGTGACCATATATAATTAATTATACGATTAACCATTGACTATTAGAATAATCAAAGGTTTAACTAACACATTTCACAATTTTTTACACACAAATTCAACAAAAAACAAAAATCGTGATTACAAAATATTTACCTCGTTCAGGAAACAACACTTCACTAATTAGTAGTACCCAAAGATTCATTTGTCAACCTTAAATTAAATCTACATTTCAATTAATGTTGTGCGTTTAGTATAGTGCAGCTACAAGTGTTTCTTGGCTGATTAGAAATTGAAACAATTAAAGCCTTCAACGATAACCTACCCATATATTGGGTAACATAATCTAATGATATTATATTGTCTATTACACTGTTTTCCAAAGTTCATTTTCTATCAAAGAAATTTTCTTAAGTAAAAAACCAAAAACTGCACATAAAAATATTTTTACAGCATTTTACTTTATTTGATCTCTAAATATTTAATTGTTTTATACCCGGTTTATTACAAAAAAGCAATTTCTTCTAATCAATATTTAATTTTTGAGCAGCCAATTTACTGTACAAAAATGCCCATACTCAACGAAAATAAAAATAATTTGACCTTTAATATGATCAGGATTGAAATTAAGTTTCGATCTAATCGGATATTTTTAGTCTAAAGTGTAGTTATAGTAAAATCAATTTAATATTACCTTCGCAAATTTTTATAGGTGCTTTATTTTTTTAAACCCACTAAATATCTAATGATTTGATCCCTTGTTCATTTAAAATGCAATTATCTCCGATCCCTTGGTGCTATCGCTTACTTCGCTCGGTGTCGCTGGATTGGTCGCCGTAAGCGGATTCCACCAATTCATTATACTTTATTTCTGTCGACTCCTAAGTCTTTCTCGAATAGCTTTTGCTCGGGTACTCGTATAAATTGGATCCCACAGAAACGAGACGAAGATAGTTTAGTAGTTTTTCCTTGATGAAAAAAAACTATTTTGTTTTATATTTTGTATATACGTTTTGCCAAATTTGTTTTTGATTTCTACTCCCTTTTTGTTGGGAAAAGTTTATTTTAGCTGAATTACTTGTCTAAAATAACCTTGAAGGATTTGGAGTCAAAATCATATTCTGGGATTGTCGAATACGAATGGTAACTGTAAATAACATTGAAAATAATCAAAGTATGATAATTAGACGATGGGACTTAATGAGATACCAATTTCAATGGACGAGTAATAATTTACAAACATCTAAAATGTTTATCGGGCCAATATCATGTTTTTCAGAGAATATGATTTTAAAACTGTATATATTTAGTGAGATATTAAATGTCAGGATGTACATACGAAAATAAGAAATTATTTACAGTCCTATTTATTTGTTTATGTTTTTTACTAAATAGCTTTAAGATTTGAGTATATAAACAGTTACATACTGAGCTGAGTTCGCGAGCGTAATGGTGGTTAACACCATTGCGAAACATTTTTGTCCAATATGTACTTGGTGTTGGCCAAGGCACTATTCCGCAAAGAGCAGTCAATAGTGATATAATAAATTTAGTCATAGTGCACAATTTATACCCTCGTAATTACATATTCAACGATTTTCAAATTCCAATTCTGTCAATTATTCAGATGTTCATCAATTCAGCCAAAAATGAATAATTTTGCAATACGGTTGGCGTTTTTATACAGCTCGACAACTCCAATGACTTGCCATTTGTTGAATGATAGATTGTATCAGACAGATCCTCGTGGACGGATTAGCGGCACAAATTGGAATTTCAACACAATGTCAGGGTGTTTGGACACCACTTGTAGTGACTGTGTTGGATATTTAGGTTATCGCTGTTGAAGAACAAAAGGTGTTTGGTAACTTTTTATCATTGGAGTTGTCGTCGATTGCATGAACAGTATTTTTGTTTAAATATTACATTTTAAAACTAGGTTGTCATGTTTTTTTCATATGGGTTTGCAATTACTATTTCCTTGCATTTTCACGTCTATTTGGTACGTATGCGCACGTTAAACACATAAAAAATAGTTGGAACAGTAAATGTAAAGGTCCATTTCCTATCCTGCGACTGTTACGACTCTAGCCGCGCGTCTCTAGCCGCGCGTCTAGAGCCGTACGGCTGGAGACGCTTGTCTTATTTCCTATGCCGCGACTCCTGCGACTCCCACGTCTAGTGTGACTAGTGCAGTTGCACTTTGACCGTCATGGAAGAAGCTTTGGTAGCGTACATTTTAATGGAAGAAGAGGAAGAAGAAGAACTATTAACGTGCCTTGTTAAAAACAGTGAGCAACAGCAAACTAACCCATTGTTCGTTGCACGACAAAATGAGGGATTCCAAAGAATTCTTATTCAGAGACATCTTCTTCAAGATGAAAGTATGTTTAGGAAGTTTTTTCGTGTCAATATATGTCAGTTTAATTACATTTGATCGTTAATCGGAAGTAATTTAGAAGGTACATATACTTAATAAACTTACTTGGTACATCAGTTTCTTTAGAAATCTGTTTTTGTAGAAATGTTTTCTCGCACATATGCATCCTTGTATTGGGGGTGTTTGGGGTTAAAAACAGATGGGTGTTGACGAACAAGCTCAATTAACCTTGAATCATCCATGATTTTGAAGGCACACACTTGAAACTCAGTATTTAACTATCAAAAACCACACAATCAAACAACTCAGTATAACTCAGTATAAGTGGCGTAACCGGGGAAAAAACCGATGCTTAGGTTCGGTTTCAGCACCTAGAGATTTTTGTTTTTTCGTTTCGTAGTCTATCGTGCCACCAACGTTTTACCTTATGTTAATTGAAGTTATGTTTGGATATATTATGCTACTTTCATCCTTACATTATTTATACAATTTTGATAACTCGATAAGGTTTTTGTGATAATGACGTGCCCAAGTGATAAGGAACCAACGTTATTGTCTGTATGATGGAACCTGTCTGCTGACCCTCCCCCTCCCCGTTGGCGCCAGTCCCAGACGGAGAGTCAGGAGACTAGTTCCACCACACAGACTATAACTTTTTTTATCAAACAGAAAAAGATGACTGTTGAGGAGAGAACTGTGTGAAATGGTCACCATAAACGTAATGTATTATTAATGTTTGCTATTATATAGCTGAACTTATGGTGTATTGTCATTTATCAATTACTTTGGCTTTTTACACCTTTACAAAACATGTTTAATCGAATCGACAGAATCATTTTAAGCTGAAAGGAAACTGACGAAGGGCTTTTAGAAAGTTGCGAACAACACGCCCTTTAATGGGCTGGGAAAGTGAAACTACATGAATAATGGTGCTAAGTTGAATACTTCATTTTTCTACCCATATTGGAAAGTTTAGAATATGACAGTTAAAGCCCCTTGCTATACATCGTTATAAGTTCAGAAGGCATATACATTTTTATTACAGTATACTATATTAATCTCACGTTTTTATCATAAAATCGTTCATTTCTATTTATGAGGAGCTAACTATACATGGAATAGGCTCTTTAGAATACTAAAAAAGACTTTTATTATAAA